TATTGCACTCAAAACATAATTAGAAGATTGGAGACATTAATTAGAAGATGAAATGATCTCTAATTCTTATTTGATTTTAATACATAAAACACTTAAAAATATATTTTTATGATCAACAGGGTTAGACTGGGCTATCACATATATCATTATTTATATATATAAAAAAAAAAAAACTTTAAATAGACCCTAACTTTATATATTTTGGAGGTGTGTTGCAAGCTAGCTGGGGACGTGGAAGGACATTTTGATCTAATAAGACATGCATGTTTATTTTATGTTTGTTTGATTTTCAACAAAATTTTAAAAACAATTTGTCTTATTTATATGCTGATTTTTTTGTGATTTTGATGTGGAGACAATTTTAAACATATAAAAATTAATTTTATTGCATTAGGTTAATTTCTTAGAATATGTTATGCCCAATTTACAAGACATTTTCACCATATTATATATAGAGCTCTATGAACCCCATTTTAAGTATGTTCTCATTTATTTTTATGACAATCATTTGTATGAAATAAAAGCTTTTTTATTGGATTTATTTTCTTCAAGTAATTAGTGCATCATGATTATGAGAACATTTTTTTAATCATTTAATATACATTTAACTAACCAATTTCACCAATTTGTTTAAGACAAGATATACTAATTATTTAATATATTTATATAATTTTTGGATTCACATATTTTAATGCATAAGAGAATTTTCATTAGATATATATTTAAATTTATAATGATACATATAATTACATTTTTTTCCTAAATAAAGTTTATTTTAAAATTATATTTAACTTTATATAAATCCCCTTATAGAAGTGGATTTCCAACCCCTTTTTCTCATTTGGCCATGACTTGTAGTGAAAGAAAGAGAGAGAAAAATATCAATTATATTTTGATATTCATAGAACTAATCTTATCTATGAACTCAGTTGAAAATAGTGAATGATTCAAGGTAACCTATTAGTACTTCAATTTTCAATTTTATTATTTTTTCATAAAAATTTGAATTTTGAACAAACTCATATCAACATAGATGCCTTCTTAATGAAAAAAATATTTCAAAATTTTTATTTTTATGAATATTGAAGATAAAAAAATTCTTTTCAAATAGGACTTCCATAATCAATTAACTATTATGATCTCAATATGATGTAGCCTAACTTGTTATGATGGTTTGTATTGAGTAGGGATATAATTAATTTGGATGATATCCTTGAGCTCTACTTGAACTTTGTTGTTAGATCATTGCCTGATAATTACCATTTGACCATCACCATTGCCACATGGCTATTGGTTTCTGACCACCACGCTTAACTCTTATTACTCACTTCTAGAATTGAAAATGAATCGAGTCTAGCAGAGCAAGTGCTTGAATATGATCAAGCTCATTTATTAAGAGCTTGTTCAAGTTTGGCTAGAGCTCGATTCTAGATTTTAAGACTGTTCAAGCTCGACCTCATTTATAAATATCCTAATTGAGCTTGATTCGAGATGGGTGCATTTACCAAGCTTATTAACGAATAAAATGTGTCATGATGGAGCCCTAATCGAGCTTTAATGTATCCTTACTCAAGCTTTATATAGTAACTTATTGAGAAAAATAAATGAGCCAAATCAAACAATATTCAATGAGCCTAAAAACAAAAATTTAATTGATATTGTTCATAAACAAGCTATAGTGGAGCTTTAACCGAGCTTGTTCATAAGTTTTTAATGATAATATTTATAAATGTAAAAGAACCAAACAACAAGTTGTTCTATCTTGTCCATTTAATAATCAAGTTCTAATGAAAGTGTTCAAAATTGTTTGATTAATTAATCAAATGATCATGAATAAGATTTAATCGAGCAGAGTCACGAGTAGCTTATTAAATGCTTGCTTCCTTAGCAACCCTACTTGCCATGATGGCCCAACTGCAATCGCCCAAACATCATTGTCCGACCATGACCGTCTGACTATGGTCACGAAACCACTACTGCCCCACAACAACCTTGCAACAGTTGACACCATTTATGTTCACCTGACCTCCATCACCCATCTAGGATCTCTCGATCACAATTGTCTAACAAAAATCTCCTAACCATCACACCCAAAATAAGGTTGCTTGACCTCCATCGCTCGTCTTTTGTTGCTTAACCACCATTATCTTAGTAACTCACCTAACTATTGTCCCTGACAATGTTATTCAAGGCACTTTCACCCCACTATGATATTCAAATAACCAATGCCCACCAATTTCCTTGCTCGTCATTGCTTGTAAAACTAATGCACACAATTAATTTTATCCTCTCCTAATTGAGGCCAATACATACTATTGTTATATGCCACCATCTATAAGACTTATGTATGTCATTAACACTAATGTTGACATTTGCCAACTTTGTTATCCTAATCGTCACCAAAGATGATACATGCCACCATTACTAATGCCAATTTCTATTAACTGAACTTTGCGGTGCCTTGACTTATCTCCCTAAAGGAGAATAATTGAACAGAGCATGACATGACCTCACGAATAAAACTACATTATCTCAAGGATTCTCCAACTTTTATCGTAGAATCCATTTTACGTGTTTTATGTCTTCTACATTCTACAAATGTATCCCCCTCACTTACAATGACGGACGTTATTCATAACGTATGATGTGCACTCGCCGAATCATCTCAACCCTATAACTTTTCTTTTTCGATTTTTTCATTTAAAAATTTTGATGTGCAATGTATGTATGAAACCATAACATAAGACTAATAATTTCAATAAAAAATATGTTTAGATCAAACAAGTATCTATGAAAGCATATTCTCCCATTTAAATCTGTGATGCCTTTTGTTTTATCTATCAAAAGTTTTTTTTTCTAATATGGACAAAATAGCCGGCCCTTTTTTATTTATTTTTCATCATAATTAATTGCATTAGAATAATAATTTGGATTTATTTGGATAATTTTTTTGAATTTTTTTTTTTTTTTTTTTTTTTTTTTTTATGTTGCATTATTTGGAATTTTATAATTTCAGGGCCGGCCATTTTGTTGGTGAGGTTTGTAAAGAAGTTTTGACGAAAAGGTTAGATTTGCCAAAAAAGCAAAAAGTGCGTTGCTCGATGATAATGTTAACAGATTTTTGCATAAAAATTAATTTTTAGATAAAACTATGTGGATTATTTTGGAACTAGGGGTGTAAACGAGGCTCGCTCGTGTTCGGCTCGTTTATATTTCGAGCTCGAAATGTGTGTTTTTGTTCGGTTCGTTGGCTTAGCGAGCCGAACGCGAGCCGAGCACGAACAAAGAGTTATTTTGACAATCATGCAAGCAGAGATGCGTGTGGTGGGCCAATAAAAATTCTCCTTTTACCAAAAAACATCATTTGAATCTATTTTAATCATTTTTATTTTATTTTTTTCATTAATACTTTTAATTGATTATAAATCTTTGAAGTTTTGAAATATTTGTTTGTGTTGGGCTCGTTAACTTAGCGAACGAGCCGAATACGAGCTTCTTAACGAGCCGAACACGAGATGTTCGCGAACAACGAACCGTTTTGACAGCCCCATTTGGAACCGAAAAAAAAAATAATACAGAAACCGGTTTTTTAAAATTTTTCAAATTCTTTGTTTGTTTATCTATTTCGAAGAACTTACCCTCTAATTAACTTCGACTTTTCGTCTTCTCATA